TTGCGGCACTACTGGGTCAAAGAAACGTCCAAAACTGACTAAAGAACCAGATCAAGATGGCCTTGCAGGAAGTAAACTCGAAGTTAGTGACAACAGCGACGCCAGTGAAAGTGAAGAATTGCCCATGGAAGTCAATGTTTCCGCCTCAAAGCTTCAGAATTCTTCATTTTCGATGTATGAAGAGCAGGAAGGTATTCTAACCCGTAAGAAGTCGATAAATGTTGGGCTCGGAGTTCCATCAGTAAATTGTGACAACATTGCAAGTGGTTATAAAATTCAAGATGCCACTTTACTTAGAGATTGTATCGCCTCAGCAGCAATTTGCAGTTTCTGCCGCAAATCTCAATCAACTTTGCAACTTTTTCAGCGAGATTATCAGAGAGAAGGACTTGCTGAATGTCTTTTTCTTAGATGTTCAAATTGTCATCATGAGACTGAGTTGAAAACAAGTAAGAGACTGGGAGGTGTTGGTGGAGGGGCTCATGAAGTCAACAGGAGGTCGGTATTGGCTTCTCAGAAACTTGGCCAGGCTGGGTTGGCTGACTTTTGTGCTAGAATGAATTTCTGTCCACCAGTGACCAAGAAATCTTACAATGATCATTTGATCCAAATTGAAAAGGCAGCTGTAGAACATGCTAGAACTCAAATGCAGGATGCTGCTGGGAGGCTGTCGGATCTGACAAAAAATAAACATCCTAACAGCATTGAAGATGAAAATGGAACCGAAGTGGCTAAAGTAGCTGTTACAGTTGATGGCACATGGCAGAAAAGGGGCCATTCCTCAAAGATTGGTGTGGTGTTTGTCATTTCAGTGGAAACTGGAGAAATTCTGGATTATGAGGTCAAATCTCTTGTTTGCTATGAGTGTCGAGCTCGTGAGCATATGGACAGAGATTCTGAGGAATACAAAGCTTGGAAAGCCAGCCATACAAATTGCCACATTAACCATTCTACCAGCTCTGAGGACATGGAGGCTTCTGCAGCAGTAGAAATGTTTGGCAGAAGTGTAGAGAAGTTGCATCTCAAGTATACAACTTTTGTCGGAGATGGTGACAGTAGTTCTTTTGGTCGAGTGCGAGAAGCCATGACTGCAAAATTTGGAGACAAATATCCTGTAGTCAAAGAGGAGTGTGTGGGCCATGTGCAGAAGAGAATGGGTACAGCTCTCCGAAAGTTTAAAAAGGAAATGAAGGGAAGAAAGCTGGCAGATGGAAAAGGTGTCGCTGGAAAGGGAAGGCTCACTGACAAAGTTATCAACCGCATTCAAAACTATTATGGTAATGCTATAAGAGAGAATTGTGGCAACCTTCAAGGGATGAAAGAAAGCATTAAAGCAATTCAGTGTCATATGATAGTGGATGAGGACATGTCACTCAAAAAGCAGCACAGACACTGTCCAAAGGGTAAAGACACATGGTGTAAGTTCTGGGCTGACATGCATAATAAGACAAACACCTACGACAACAGCAAGCGTCTTCCTGCAGTTTTCATGAAAGAGCTGGACCCAATTTTTAAAAGATTGTCAGATAATGCTCTTTTATCAAGATGTCTTCAAGGTTTCACTCAAAACCAGAATGAAAGTGTCAATTCTCAATTGTGGTCCAGATGTTCCAAAACTACCTTTGTTGGAGTTCGTAAAGTTCAAATTGCTGTTTGTGAAACTGTGGCTGTGTTTAACACTGGGGCAGCCAGCAAAGCAGTCATTATGGATCTCAGTGGGGTTAATCCTGGTCAAAGTATGTTGAAGGCCCTGAGAGATCAAGACAAAAGAAGGATCGTAACTGCTGGACGAAAAGTTTCTGTGAAGTACAGAACACAAAGGAAGATTTTACGGGCAAAGCGAAAGTCAAAAGGGGAAGTGTCATACTCTTCAGGGGCTTTTGGTCTTGATTCAAAGCCTGAGATATCAGTTAAACAAGGAATCAAGAATATTAAGTCCAAGAAACACATTCAGGAGTTACCATCCACTAGTAGAGAGCAAACTGTGGAGATAAAATATGTGGAACCCATTTTTGAAGTTGTGGTCACTCCAAAAGAGTAGGGTTCATGAAGAGGACTGAACTTTTCCACATTTAACCATCTAATCTAGCTGGAGAAAGGCCTTCAAATTAATATTTACTTCCTAGTGCAACACACTTTCAAGAAAATAACTTTCTTGACAGAATGGGGGGATGTTATGGTGAATTTTACTCACAGCACATGTCTTGGACTTTAGAAGCAGTTTTCTTAAAGTTATATGTTTAAGAATTGTCTATCTTGTGGCAGTCATATTTTTGCCAGTTTTCAATGGATTTGCATGATTTTTTCACAGGTTGTGTAGTTTTGGCTGTACTGTGCAATGAGTGAACTAGTTTTAGTCTTTTGTGAAGTTTTATTTTGTTGCTATGGAAACGTGCTTCTTTATGTCAGAGCGACATTGATTTGACGATACTAAAAAACTGTTTCACTCATTGCACAATTTGTAACAGTGTTAATGTCTCTAGAAAGTTTCATTGCTTTATGGTATATGTTTGCTGAGATAACTTTGCCATAATCTCAGAAGTTGACTTAAGTTTTCTGGAGTTACCATGGCAACCAATGGGCGTGGTCTCACACTTACCATGTCAATCTTTCAAACTTACTTAAGTCTATATTCTGTTCAAATTTCATGGAGTTTGGTCAAATCCTAGGGAAACAGGCCACTTTTTCATTTAGTTACAAAATAAGGGTTAACTACCACCTTAAAGAGTAATGATGGATTTATTGGGATGAAAACGCAACTTTGTTCAAGGAAAAGGATGGACAGTTTTATTGTTATCAAATAGCAACCAAAAGTAACGTGGGCTCTGTTTCAATTGAACGCAAGACTAAAGAGCGGACTTAAACGACGCACGTGTCGGAACACTGAATACACGAAGGAAAGAAAGGAGTCCAAAAATTGTTGTCCAAGAATGCCTTAGTCTTCCACCTTTAAGGGTGCCTTGTGTGCATAAAGATTGAAGTTCGGTGCCTTCAATAGCTTTTTGGCAACAAAGATCAACGAATAACAACGGCCTTACCAAACAATCTTTTTAAAGAAACCTCTACGATGGTAGGTATAGACAACTGACATTTAAACATTAAAAACATAAGCTACCAGCAACAGGGTTTTCCATTGTAAATGTTTCATAAGATCAGATTTTCATCACGTTTTTTTTACATTTGAAAGCATAGGTGTATTTTAATAATTACAATATAATGAAATCCCCCATTTTAAGACACAAGTAGTAATCATATGAACGAGAAAGACAGCAAATAAATGTAACATTATACTCCAGGAAAGTGTTCTTGAGTGGAGTAAAGTTTCAAACTAATTTAAATTAAGTTGATTTGCGCGCAGGTTGGGGAGGAAATTCCAGAAATGGATACATGTTACATAAAAAGAAACCCATTACAATTAAACAAAGCAGAAGCATATTACCCACATGTCTATGCTTCTGAATACAAAGAAATACGAATTTTTTACGCAATTATCCACATCTGTACAAACGGATTTGGTATTCTTAATTACTGGTTAACTTCCGAGGGTGTAACTCAATTGATTCAAAAGAAAATATCTAAGCAGATTACCGAAGTGGTTCACGAATTATAAACTAATAATTTTTTTTAACAGAACTTCCCGAAATGTCCTTTAATGATAGTACCGATGCGAGGTTATCGTTCATAATCACTTATGAAATTCCGAGATTGTAACTCGATGAAAATCAACAGAAAATATCCAGGACGCTTTCAGAAAGGGGGGAAAGGTGTATCCTGTCACCAAGTGTACCCTTTGTTGGTCATAAGTAGTCAGTGCGAGGAGTGTCCACAGGCCTCGACAAGGTTTCTGCAGTGAAGTCCTAGTCACCACCGAGCCGTGTTTCCCACCTGAATGTTTTTCTGAGAACGTTAGGTTACTATAGAAAGTTCATGCCAGATTTTGCTACACTTGAAACCCCTCTCTTCCAGCTTGAGAAGAAGGGACGTAATTTCTGTGGTCCACTGACTGTCAAAATTTTTTACGATACTCTAAAACAAGTCTTCTGTGAAGGTCCGGTTCCAGCATTCCCAAGATTTGACCTTCCATTCTTACTATTAACTGACTCTAGCACAACTTGTGTCGCAGCTGTGTTGTCTTAATTGCAAAAGGGCGAGGTGCGCCCAACTGCATATGCCGATAAGACCTTGAGAAAGTCACAGGATGGAGTTTTGTATTGGCGATGGTTGGATGAAAAGACAGTACACCTGAGCCTACATTTGAGAGTCTCACGGTATTTAAAGGGAGATCTGCTGAAGGAGCCAGATGACGAGTACAGACACTTGTCACGACGCTTTTACTGGTCAGGCTATTCTGTGCGGATGATGAATTGTACAACGTATCACACAAGTAGCACCAGAAATGTGTTAATTCCTCGACCGAGGACATTCTGTCATGGACGACTATGTGCCGCTTTGGTTATCCAAGTCGAGTGCTTATTGACGAAAATCGAAATTTTAAGTCTCGGAATTTCCGTTGGTTACGCAGCTTAATTGAGCGCCGAACTACTCATCTGTACGGTTGCCGATGTTATTGCTAAGATTGCAGAAGAGCGGAAAGAATGGGACTAGCACTTTCCTTCGGTTTCCTTTGCATTGCGAGTATCAACGCATGACTACAGGGTACTCCCCTAGGTGCTCATGTTTGGCAGGGAACTAAGATTACCTATTGACGCAATGAGAGCCAGACCTACATCGGAATAACCTACTGATTACCCTTCTTTTGTCAAGAACAGCGTGAAGTCCAGGGACGGGTGGAGGGAAATCGGGAGAACAACCTCCGAAGGATGTCTACGATGCACACTGCGACGCTGGTATCGATATTTCTCGAAGTCTTCCATATCAAATATGGGTATTACGTCCAAGCGTGTCCATAGCATGAGACAATAAACATCAGCAAACCCGTAAAATGAACTCGGAGTTAATTAAAAAAAAATGAGGAAAGTAGTGTTCACACATGTCCTTTAAAAGAAAATTGCGTTGTATCTGAGATACAAGATTAGGTGTTTTTCTTTCTCCTGTGTATATCTGGGGTGGCTTAAATAGTAATACAATATTATGAATAATGCCATCAGGTAAGCCTCTACTCTTTTACTGTAGATATCATATAGAGTGTTTCACAAGATTTTAAATACAGTTTAGTGTGTTTCGATAATGTACAGAAATAAACGTTCATCCCTGCTTTGACAACATTTCCGCTTTGAAATAAGCGGTTCATTTCATCATAGCAAAAGTCTGTCTACCAGCCACAACCCCTTTGAATAGCGCTCTTTGTTCCCTGTACGAGTCGAAAACACTGGGAATATAGTAAATTTGATTCCTAGTATCACTCTATTGAGACGGTTCTCTCCGTTTATGAAAATGCATTTAACAATAACAGCAAGAAAGTTAGAATAAAAAAATCAATAGCAATGCACTTTTTGTTTTCCGATACCAACGACACAAAATGTAAGCAATCTACGACCCATGTAGTACCACATTATAAGAGATGTCACCGATCTCGTCGATAAAGGACACGCTACCCAAAGGTCCATGACCAAATCAATACTAAACTACTAAATATCTTACCACGTCTATAGAACCAGCAGGCGACACCTCAATAGCATGATTGCTAACAACTCGTTGTATTGTTTCACCTGTAAACAGAGGTAAACAATTTTCCTTGTGCAGAACTTTAAATGAAGAAGCTTTTTTCCCATTTTCAACCTCCTTTTTTTAAATCCTGCCTTAATCAGCTGTATCTAAATCGAATTATTTATCAATTGCAACTTAAGAAAAAATTGACTTAAAGGTGTCTCATTAAGGACACTGCTTTGATTTATTATAACACAATAAGACCCTTAAATTATCACCGTTATCACGGGTACACATTTTCTAATACTTGATGTACTACAAAGTGACTGAAATTTATTGTAGCGGCTAGGTTCCTGAGTAATATTCAAAATGTCACTGTCTAACGACGGTCGCTGGCCCATTTTCCTAATCTCTTTGCAGCGGCGTTCCTTGTAGCTCGTGCACTTGGTTCGACATCTTCATCTCCGAGGTCTTCAACCTTGGAGTATTTGATCGTGTCATAAGATCCCATGTCGAGCAGGTGCAGATATGTCTAAAGGGGAAGGCAATAAAAGAAGATTGTTCATGATCGTCGTCTTTAACTTCAAGTCAAGAAGAAAATTATAATGACTACTTAAAAGCACACTAATGATCCTCGCGTTAAAGGCGCGGAAGAAATGCGTTTTCTTACGCAGGTTGGTTGGTAAGTAGGAAGTTATGAATGTAGATGGGTAATTTGGTATCATCAACTTAGTCACTAACGTAAATTGGCCACCGTAAAGAGTTTTCAAGCTAATGTTTTGAACGTTAGAACTTTGCCATTCGCTCTGACGAAGGGCTAACGCTCGAAACGTCAGCTTTTAAACTCTTAACAGTGGCCAATTTACGTTATCAGCTCAGTTGAAAATATCAAATTAGCCCGTTATACTCTCCATCGACGCAACTCCACAGTTTTCCTAGAAACTTACCCCTTTATTATGAATGTAGATGGGAAGGTAAGTAAAGGGAAGGGCGGAAGGGATGGTGATAGATGGGTTCGTGGGCATGGGACATCTTAGCGCGTTTTATGTTTAAGTGGGTTAAAAATTTAAAAATATTGACAAGCTGGGGCAAATAGAAAGAAACGAAACTACTAGTAGGAGCCATCAAAATGAAAGCTCAAGGCACTGAAATTCCCGTAAGCGGCTTCAAGTGCAGTTGGAAGAAACCAGTGCAATCCCAAATCACTTCTATTAAACTGCTGAAACCAACTTTAAAAGAACAATGGTCTATGAAGTAATTTTAGAAGAATGAATAATCTCAGAGGCCTACGAGGATGTCAAGGAATTGTTCAAATCGTGCCACAAACCTCTTCACGAAGGTAGGTATCCATTCTTTTTCGAAGGTTTTCAAAGGGAGGACGAAAGTCGGGGTCAAAATTCCAGCACCTTTTCATTATAGCATACCTGGAATAAAGGAATGATGGTCAATACTGGACTGTGGTTTATGAAATATGTGATAAAAATCAACCAATACAGAAATCTTAAGAGAGCTTTGGCCAAATAATGGCTGTAATGGCTATTACAGTGTGGCTGTAATAGCAGAAAATTCATCTTCTCAAAATTCTTGAGTGAAAAGACAACTTTTAACTGAACAAACTGGTGACCGCTGTTAACTTTGTTTCATTTAACAGTGTTCAATAACGAGAGAAGAAATCAGATTAAAAAATAGACAATGTTTTCCTTCGGGGTTGGAGAGACTGGGTGATTTAAAATGGAACATGGCAACTTAGAAGGCAAGACTCACAGTTTATCATCAACATGATCGGGCTTTGGAAGTTTGTATCCATGTGTGACTTGTGCAACCACATTCCCTTCTGTCCATCCCTCGTATGGAATTCCTCCTGCAAAGACATAAACAATTTGTGGCTGTGATACTCCTGAATATTTCCTTTAAAAATTTTGAGATTTGAATCAGGGAGATCCCCTTCTGGTGCTTGATTGCAGTATTCGAAACATGATATTTCTTAGCCTGATATTTTAAGCAAATGATTACCATTTTTTTGCCGAGTAATTTGAAAGGGTTTTTGTCATTTGAAGTCGAACACAAAATGTTACTCGTCTTCTGTGATAGTCAGGGAAAGGAAAGTCTTGAAACAACATTTCTCAGTTATAGAGAATGAAACTTTGACAAGCTGAGCAAAATTCATCATTGGAGTAAACTTTGGCAAAACAAATTTTTCTGCCACAGCTCATCAAACTAACGTCTGCCAATTGAGTCTTAAAGGAATTGACATTGACTAACGAGTTTCAGAAATGATACCTACAATATTTCCACGCATGGAGAGACGGGAAGTATAAATATCTGTTTTTGAACATAGTTTGACTTACCAAGGGTAACTATCTCATACAGAACGATTCCGTAAGACCACCTGAAAAAAAATTCCAAAAAACATTGCCAAGATACTTGCTGAGTGTTGGATATTAGCTTGTAAAGATTAAAACCAAAGAGATGACCTGCTCAGTGCAAAAATTTCATACATACACGTCACTCAAGATAGAAAGTCCAGCGAGATTTCCCAACAAAATCTCTGGTGCAGTCCATTTGATTGGCAGACGGCCCTGAAACGACAGGTTTGTTTAAAAATAAGTGCTATAATACTGGCAAGTTAACAAAGGGCATGTATGTAAACGAGAGGTGGATGGTGCACCTCTTCCGAGACTTTATTGGAGTGTCAAAATTTAGCAGTTTTCATGAATTTAAAATAGTAAAGTCAACTAATTCAGTTGTATTCTGTGGCATGACAGAACGTGGAGCTATCTTCAGCTGGCAATTAAGGTGAGTTTTAAGCAGAGTAACAGCTAACTTAGGGAATCGGTTTTTTTGCCCTTGCCAAAAAAAAAAAAGGCAAAGACGATCTTCTACCTTTTTGGCTTTTCCATGACCGTATTTGAAGTTTTGATATGCCATGCCAAAGTCGGTCACTTTGCACACATAGTTGTTATCAAGGAGGACGTTTCGAGCTGCCAGGTCACGATGGATTATCTACCGAAAGACAAAGATCCTAAATGTAAACTGCCTAACAAATGCATGTCTTTTGTGAGACCTACCATGATCAGAGGGAAGATTATACAGACGTTTGCATGGATTGTAAGAACTATTGTTCCTAGGGTGTTCATTACAGACCAAAATAACTGCGACATCTGGTGACCCACCGACAATATCAAAGGAACTCTTAGCCTGATGAAATATTGAGAATATGAAACCTGCCTCCAAAAAATTCATATAATTTAGATATATATATATTCAAGCAACTCAAAAGGTGTAACAATCCCTTACAGATATTTCTGCGGTAAAATTGAATGTAGAAGCATTTTAGTTACTTACCCCCCTTGATCCAAGGAATACCATACCAGCGGCGATTTGTTTGGCAAATAGCACAAGGTCATAGTTGTTCAAAACTTGAGGCCTTCCTTCTCCAAGATAATACCGATCATTAATTCCCCGGCATTTTCTCATGTAACCAAGCAGGTCACCACATGGCAAATGTTCCATGATCAGGATTGGATGAACTTAACATAACGAAAAGAAGGAACGAATCAATACAAACAAACAAACAAACAAATAAGCTAACAATCTCATACTCAGTTGGAATGTTATTGCATATAATAAGAATGATGCCTCAAACTTAGTATGTACCTTGTCTAGTGACACAGCCAATGAATTTCACTATGTTTGGGTGATTGCTTTTACCGAGAATTTTTCCCAGCTCGATCTCTCTCATCAAACATTTTCTTCCTTCCTCCCCTGCGGTGGCTAGAATAGAAAGGATATACTTTATAGCCAGGAAAAAAACCATTAGTGACGAATTTTCTCGTGCTTTTAAAAGAAGCGAAAACTTCGGGTAAGGATTTAGACCTAACATCTCAGAAAATCTCTGAAGCCTAATTGGTGGAGCTCCCACCAAAATGGAACCGGTTGGCGAGCGAATCCTTTAGAGGAATACATATTTTCTTTGTCTCACTATTGTGGCACGTGCTTACCATCTTCAAATTTGTTTATTGCTATTGATGCCTCTATTGTTTTATTGTTGCTTTTGTTATTGAAAGTAACTTTGCATGAATCTCTCAAAGCGCCTAAGTCGACCTGAGATAAATAATCACTGGAAAGTGCAAAGCAGGTCACCCTTGGCAAGAAATGCTAAGTACCCATCTACGTGTTCTGAGGAAAGATAGCACGCTGGGTCTTACGTGTGAAGCATTTAGAAGCAACTGTGCGATTTCCAGGTCTCCCATTTGGAGAACTAAGAAGAGCTCTCCACACTGCTCCAAATGCCCCTCGCCCAATGACATCTTGAAGCAGGACACGGTTCACTTCAATCTCCCATTCATCCACCTCTACATACTCCACCTCGATTGCCTCCCCTTGATTAGAACTAAATATTACGAAAATTACAGTTTCTATTGATAAATCAAAGTATACGTGATCAAGAAATGAAAAGAAATGTTAATGAAAAGTTTTGAGTTTCTAAATTCTTTGATTTATTTCTTCAACTTATGGAAAGATAATCACCCTAGAGATGACAAAACAACATTTTCTTGTGCACAAAAACTAGAATTGTAGAATAACTTGTAAATTTAAATTCAAGTTAACTTTCCAAATGGAATGGCTGACATGACAGTAAGATTTAAACCCCACCTTCATTTTTTTTCCAAAACCATTTCAATTCAGTAAATAAAAGGCAAACTAATTGACTTACAGAGCCGTAGCAGCTGCTGCAGGTACAAATGGCAAATCAAAGAAAGAAATAAAAAGGGAAAAAAGTTCTGCCTTAACTTGAATATTTAAATAAAAATAATAATAAATAAATAAAAATAGAAATGAAAGAAGGAACTATTTAAAAAAGAATGATTAATAGGAAATTATAAATTAGAAACAGTAAAAACATGCCTATAGTGCCTCAAAGGTCTTTTTCCTGCAAACCGAGATGATATTAATACCTGCCTAATAGCGAACTTGAGGAGAACAATTGGAATATGAGGTGAAGTAAAAGTAAACATAAACTGGTCCAATTTTTGCTTCTCACACAACGTATTATTCTCTGGAAAAATTTCCCGAAACAAGATATGAAGAATGAGCTTTACCTGTCTTTCGACGTAGCAAGTTGAAGTAGCCTATGAGCAAAATAACAATAGCAGCAGCCATTGATCCAACAATATAATACCACACCAGGAGTGGAATCACAGCTGTTGGTGTAAGTTAAACACATGGTTCTCAACCAAATAAAAAAGGTAGTAGATGTGATGATAAGGGAAAGGTTGTTACTCAGTATTACCCAGCCCCTCTGGATACAATTTTCGCTAGAGCTTCGCTGGCTCATTAGAAATGGCTACCATTTTATGAAAGAGATTCAAAGAAAGGTGAATTAAAGCTATATGGAGAAGACCTAGCTAGAATCTTGTTTTGAATTGAGAAATAACCTGCCTTTTTGTACAATGGATGTAGTGCAATTCCTTTCGCCGAATAGAAAACAAACAATAATGATGATAATTATTTGGGTATCTGAAAGGAGGTTCTACGGCATCTTACAGGCCAGGGGACCCGTATTTTAATGTCAGACTTATTCCCAACATACACACATTCACACACAAAAATCAATAACAGAAACAAACAAAAACAATAATAATGCCAGCTTACACTTGACTTTTATCACCACAGTGGAGCAGGCCACATTTCCCAGTCTGTTACGAGCTTCACAGGAATATTCACCACTGTCCTCCTCTACAACCTTTGCAACAACCAGATAACTTGTTGTCTCATCCAATTGCATATCAATGACTGCCGTTTCTTTTGTTGGGTCTCCATCTTTTTTCCAAGTGATATTTACTGTTGCTTCGTTGACGCTGCAAGTCAATCTAAGCTTATCACCTTGAGTGAGCGTTGGATATGGTTTAGGACTTAGTTTGGCGGTGGGTTTTCCTGTGTAGAGAAAGAGATAATGTATACATAACTTGGTTATCATGAAAAAGAAAAAAACACTAGAAATACCGTAGTAAGGTAATTATCATAGAAACTAAGTGGTTCGAAATTAACCCTCCAAATGGTACATGCAAGGTATAACGTGCCCATTTGAATGAAACTTGGCTTCAAGGGGGTTTCAAGGAGGGTTTGAATTACTTGTCCAAAATGTTTCTGAGTCTTTTCCAAATGGTCTCGGACCCCATTCAACCAAATTTCCAAGATGCCTCTAAGTAAACCGGGACCCAGCCCTATCTTTTTTATCATTAAGACATATTGCCCCATACAAATCTACAAGTCATTGCAGTAGTCAAATATTCTAAAGGAAAATGATCAGAGTGACCATAACAAAATGTCACAAAGTGATTGTATGGAAGAGTCATCTTAAACAACTGGTAGATGGTGCATACGCGACGATTATCTTTCCCACAATTCATTACGGTATTTTTCCCAGGTACGTTACACTCAAGTTTGTATTTGCATTCTTTGCCTTAATCGTCTAGGTGAAATTCCAGGGGTATCGAGACTCCATCTCAGTCTTAACAATTTTTCAGCTCTTTTTGGGCAACCTTTAGTCACTAGCCACCATTTCCACCTCATATTTTGCGAAGAAGGTATCGTTGATTATTATTGTTGGGGTGGATCCATCACCATCATTACCTTAATTGCTATTAAAATTAAGATTACTATTATTGTTATCACTATTACAATCATTATTATCCCTATCAGTATTATTATTATTACCATCATAATCATTAAAATTATCGGACCTACCAAATACTTGAAGTGTTGTGGAATAACTTGTTCTATTTGCTTTGTTTTCTGCTGTACACTTGTATGTTCCGTCCATTTTCTTTGTCGCTCTCCGCATTTCCAGGACTGATTCCACGAATGAGTCTCCCTCAAAATTGTTTTGATTAATACCCAGTGGAAGTTTACCACCAACAAATGTCCAGATCAGTTTTGGTGTTGGAACACCTGTGGCACGGCAAGTGAAGTTGACTGGATCTCCATCGATAACAGATTGGTTTACCTGAGACAATAAAATCTGAGGAGACACTGAAAATAAAAAGAACGCCACTGATGTTTAACAAAGGTTCTCAAGATACAAACGAATAACCACAAGTAATCTGGCAGTAATTAGATGTAAGAGCAAATTGGGGAGGCTTCTAACTACATGAACTTCCTGAAGTAAAAGAATCACCTGCACACTGTACAGGGAATAGTTAGCAGATAAAAAGATTAATTTATACTCAAGTGCAGAAGATAATTTTCCATTTCCTATAAATATATCAATATGAATGACGTATCCAAATCAAAGACAAATTTATAAACAAATGGATAAACTCAGCTTGTGGAAATCCTATTTAAATGTTCAACATAAACAAAAGCATCTTCAAAAGCTGCTATATTTTCCACTTAAGTTGAGTTCAGCTTACGTTGATAAAAGATCAAAATGCCAAAGTGCCAAAGTACAATGGAATATGCATATATTTATGTATGAACATGGGATATTTAGCCAGTCGGCACAGTTCAGCTCAAAGCTGCTTAAAATGGAGGCCTGTATAAACGATGACAAGGCCAGACCTCGACACCGGGAGCTACGTTCCTTACTCTTGGCGAGAAGTGTGTGGGTTCGTTAAATTCCCTGCTATCCAGTGCAAAGAAGATGCAGGAGACAGGGCATACGGTTTATCCTCCTTATCCAAGAAACTAGAATGCCTATCCATCTGCCGATGGCAAAGCAGAGGCAACACATTCTCCTCATCTATTTAAAACCTTGTGTTGGTCCGGTCAAGGGTTTGAAGTATCGCACGGCAATAAAGCGCGCTACAACGTGAACTAACCAAGCGCCGTTTGTAAATCTTCATAAAAAGATTTTGATTTACCAGTAACATCGATCCAGAAGGAGATGTTAACTTTTCCAACCAGATTTTCAGCAGCACATCGATAGAAACCTCCATCATCGAAAGTCACGCTTTTAATAACTAACGTATTGTTGTTACCAAGAGCTTCTCCATCCTTGGTCCAATTGACAGATACTGGAAGATCACCCTTTTTAAAACGGTCTGTTTCAAATGTGGAGTTCAGAGGAACTGAAAGATTCTTGAGTTTAGGATTTAAATGTGGTGGAACTATAAAGAAAAATTAAAAAGAGTTACGATGGGACTATTATCACATGTACATTGGTATCTAGATCTTGAACGCAAACACTGCAAACAAATGAATGATCGTGACGACCAGCAACCTTTAGGAATTTTCATTCTGGCGCTATCAATAAGTTACTTACTTGGTTGACACAAGAATAAAAAACCTTTGCCCTCTCCTTGCCATTTACCTGGGAAATTTGACCTCCCATCAATCCGAGCGCAAGATGCAAGTTCTAATTCATAAAGTGCAGGAAACATCCGACATTGCAAATTGAAGTGACGATCTCACCTTCTAAATTTTAGTAATTGCAACTTCCCAGGATGATGTACTACTTTAAGCTAGGTTTTCCCCTGCTCATCACCTTATGGAAAGGTAAGTCAGAACTATGTGTAGATGAGCTACGCCATTCACATCTTGTTTCGAATTAAGAAATGACTTTCAATTATTGTAAACTGAATGTAGACCAATGGCAACAGCCGAACAGAAAACAAACCATCATGGTGATATTGCAACAAATTGGTTGGGTCTCTAAAAGGTGGTGCTACTGCTTCTAAAAAGCCAGAGGACCCATATTGTAAATTCTGATTTACAGTTCTTTAAAAAAAAAGGATAGAAAAAGGAGCAGTTTCATTAAAAACGAATGACATTTAATGGTTACTGATGGACACTACAATAATAATAGCAATAATAATAGCAATAATAATAGCTTACGTTTTACTATTATTATCACGGTCGAGCGGGCCACATCTCCTGGTCTGTTACGAGCTTCACAGGAATATTCACCACTATCGTCCTTCACAACCTCTGCAATAACCAGATAACTTGTCTTCTCATACAATTGCGTATCAATGACTGCCGTTTCTTTTGTTGGGTCTCCATCTTTTTTCCAAGTGATATTTACTGTTGCTTCGTTGACGCTGCAAGTTAATCTAAGCTTATCACCTTGAGGGAGCGTTGGATATGGTTTTGGACTTAATTTGGCTGTGGGTTTCTCTGTGTTGAGGAAGAGATAATGTATGCATAACTTAATTATCATAAAAACAAACTTCACTCAATACCTTAGTAAGGTAATTATCATAGAAACTAAGTGGTCCGAAATTAACCCTCCAAATGGTACATGCAGGGTATAACGTCCCCTATTTGAGTGAAACTTGACTTCAAAGGGGTTTTAAGAAGGGTTTGAATTACTTGTCCAAAATGTTTCTGAGTCTTTTCCAAAGGGTCTTGAGCCCTATTCAACCAAATTTCCAAGATGCCTCTAAGTAAACCGAGACCCGACCCTTTCTTTTTTATTATTAAGACATATTGCCCCATACAGAGCTACAAGTCATTGCAGTAGTCAAATCTTCTAAAGGAAAATGATCAGAGTGACCATAACAAAATGTCACAAAGTGATTCTATGGAAGAGTCATCTTAAACAACTGGTAGATGGTGCATACGCAACGATTATCTTTCCCACAATTCATTACGGTATTTTCCCAGGTACGTTACACTCAAGTTTGTATTTCCACTCTTTGACTCAATCGTATTAGTGAAATTCCAGGGGTATCGACTCCATCTCATTCTTTAAAATTCTTCAGCTCTTTTTGGGCAACCTTTAGTCACTAGCCACCATTTCCACCGCATATTTTGCGATGAAGGTATCGTTGATTATTATTGTTGGGGTGGATCCATCACCATCATTACCTTAATTGCTATTAAAATTAAGATTACTATTATTGTTATCACTATTACAATCATTATCATCCCTATCAGTATTATTATTATCATCATAATCATTAAAATTATCGAACCTACCAAATACTTGAAGTGTTGTTGAATAACTTGTTCTATTTGCTTTGTTTTCTGCTGTACACTTGTATGTTCCGTCCATTTTCTTTGTCGCTCTCCGCATTTCCAGGACTGATTCCACGAATGAGTCTCCCTCAAAATTGTTCTGACTAATACCCAGTGGAAGTTTACCACCAACAAATGTCCAGGTTAATTTTGGTGTTGGAACACCTGTGGCACGGCAAGTGAAGTTGACTGGATCTCCATCGTAAACAGATTGGTTTACCGGAGACAATAAAATCTGAGGAGACACTGAAAATAAAAAGAGCACCACTGATGTTTAACAAAGGTTCTCAAGATACAAACGAATAACCACAAGTAATCTGGCAGTAATTAGATGTAAGAGCAAATTGGGGAGGCTTCTAACTACATGAACTTCCTGAAGTAAAAGAATCACCTGCACACTGTACATGGGAATAGCTAGCGGATATTGCTAACATAAAAATATTATTTTAAACTCAAGTGCAGAAGGTAATTTTCCATTTCTTATAAATATGTCAATGTGAATGACGTATCCAAATCAAAGACAAATTCATAAACAAATGAATAAACTCGGCTTGTGGAAATCCTATTTGAATGTCCAACATAAACAAAAGTATCTTCAAAAAGCTGCTATCGTTTCCTTTGAAGTTAAGTTCAGCTTCATAAATGTTGATAAAAGATGAAAATGCCAAAGTAAAATGGATGTGCATGTATTTATGTATGAACATGGGATATTTAGCCAGCTTGGCACAGTTTAACTCAAAGCTGCTTAAAATGGAGGCCTGTATAAACGATGACAAGGCCAGACCTCGACACCGAGAGCTAAGTTCCTTACTCTTGGCGAGAAGTGTGTGGGTTCGTTAAATTCCCTGCTAACCGGTGCAAAGAAGATGCAGGAGACAGGGCATACGGTTTATCCTCCTTATACAAGAAACTAGAATGCCTATCCATTTGCCGACGGCAAAGCAGAGGCAACACATTCTCCTCGTCTATTTTAGAACCTGTGTTGGTCCCGTCAAGGGTTTGAAGTATCGCACGGCAATAAAGCGCGCTACAACGTGAACTAACCAAGCGCCGTTTGTAAATTTTCATAAAAAGATTTTGATTTACCAGTAACATCGATCCAGAAGGAGATGTTAACTTTTCCAACCAGATTTTCAGCAGCACATCGATAGAAACCTCCATCATCAAAAGTCACGCGCTTAATAACTAACGTATTGTTGTTACCAAGAGCTTCTCCATCCTTGGTCCAGTTGACAGATACTGGAAGATCACCCTTTTTAAAACAGTCTGTTTCAAATGTGGAGTTCAGTGGAACTGAAAGATTCTTGAGTTTAGGATTTAAATGTGGTGGAACTATAAAGAAAAATTAAAAAGAGTTACGATGGGATTATTATCACATGTACATTGGTATCTAGATCTTGAATGCAAACACTGCAAACAAATGAATGATCGTGACGACCAGCAACCTTTAGGAATTTTCATTCTGGCGCTATCAATACGTTACTTACTTGGTTGACACAAGAATAAAAAACCTTTGCCCTCTCCTTGCCATTTACCTGGGAAATTTGACCTCCCATCAATCCGAGCGCAAGATGCAAGTTCTAATTCATTAAAAGTGCAGGAAACATCCGACATTGCAAATTGAAGTGACGATCTCACCTTCTAAATTTTAATAATTGCAACTTCTCAGGATCATGTACTACTTTAAGCTAGATTTTCCCCTGCTCATCACCTTATGAAAAGGTAAGTCAGAACTATGTGTAGATGAGCTACGCCATTCACATCTTGTTTCGAATTAAGAAATGACTTTCAATTATTGTAAACTGAATGTAGACCAATGGCAACAGCCGAACAGAAAACAAACAATCATGGTGATATTGCAACAAATTGGTTGGGTCTCTAAAAGGTGGTGCTACTGCTTCTTAAAAGCCAGAGGACCCATATTGTAAATTCTGATTTACAGTTCTTTAAAAAAAAACGGATAAAAAAAGGAGCAGTTTCATTAAAAACGAATGACATTTAATGGTTACTGATGGATACTACAATAATAATAGCAATAATAATAGCTTACGTTTTACTATTATCATCACAGTCGAGCGGGCCACATCTCCTAGTCTGTTACGAGCTTCACAGGAATATTCACCACTGTCGTCCTTCACAACCTCTGCAATAACCAGATAACTTGTCTTCTCACACAATTGCGTATCAATGACTGCCGTTTCTATTGTTGGGTCTCCATCTTTTTTCCAAGTGATATGTACTGTTGCTTTGTTGACGCTGCAAGTTAATCTAAGCTTATCACCTTGAGGGAGCGTTGGATATGGTTTTGGACTTACTTTGGCAGTGGGTTTTTCTGTGTTGAGAAAGAGAAATTTAGTCTAAAACAGCTTCACTTATAATACCTTAGTAATGTAATCATCATGGATACGAAAGAATCCAAAAGAAACCCTCTGAACGGAAATTGTAGGGTAAATAGTGCTAATTTAGGTGAAAGCTGGCTTCAAAAAAGTATTTGTCATAAGGTTCTAGGGTGTTGCCTGATCAAAATGAGCAGAGTGATTATTAAAAAAATGTTGCAAAGCGATCACATCAAGGAGTCACCCTAAACAATTGGTGAATTTCACATGCGCGCACAACAATTTTCTTTCCAAGAGTTCATCATTTTCCCCGGCTACGTTAAACCCAACCAAGTAGTTGCTCACATTGGCTTTAATTTCTTACACAATTTCCAGAGTTATTTTCGAAAATCAATCTCGAAACGGTTATCGGTACAAAAACCAGTCTTAACAACCTCTCGGTTATTTTTGATCGACCTTTAGACTAATCACCATCTCTGACTTACATTTTATTCATTTGCACGGGAGATAAACTCAGAAGAGGAAGGCATTATATATTACCGGTTGTACGGCTAACCAGTAATACAAGAGTATCATTTCCATTTGGAATTCGAAATTCAAAAGTTAACAAAATTTAATGACATAATCTATACAGGGAGGTACAGTACAAATATTGTCGTGGCAGACTCTTCGAGTCCGACTTGTAAATAATAGGAAACCACGAGCGATTCCTCGCTCAAGAATCAAGCAAAGGAAATTAATTACTACCACTAATAAATCGTTCATTTTCCTTAACAGTTCAATAATACATCGGTGTGGAGAGTCAGGCACCATGCAAGTGAAGACTGTCATCCTCGAGGATATTACAGAAATGATATTGCTCGGCTAACCAGTAGTTTTTATGTGTAATATAGACATGCAGTTTGAAATTTTAAAGTTAATATTAAAAAAAGAAAGAGATTTCAAGAGGAAAACCCTCCAACTAGATGAAGGGATTTCGTCACTCAAGACGACAAGAAGACACAGCAATTAGTCCAGAGTCCCTCCGACCGCAGTTTACACGACTGAATGATTTAAAATGCAATTATAGACCTGAAAACTTACCGTGAATAGAAATATAGATATTTTCAGCGGAAATTCCTCCACGATTTTTTGCTTCACAGGTGTACAGACCTGCTTCTTCCTTTGTTATGTTATTAAAAGAGAGAGACAGACTGTGTCCTTTAGATAAGTTATTCTTCAGCCAGGTTATCTGTGGCTTAGGCCGACCTTGAATGATTTTACAAGTCAAATTCACAGTGTCTCCTTCTCTGATTAGATTGCTTGATCCTGAAACACTCACCACTGGTCGAACTTTGAATAAAAAAACAAGTAAAAAAGTTAAAACACATTGGCTTAGTTATACACACATAATATACATGTCGTAGAAGGCAATTACCTTTTGGATTACTAACATCAATCTACAAATCAGACAGTGCATTTTAATGTCATAAATTTGAATAACCACATGAAAGTCCTTTTCTAACGGCTAAAAACAATAAATGATTGGAACATATCAAGTGACCTTACAGAGATGTCTATCGGAAAAAAATTAAAGACCCTTAAAAAATATCAAAGATTTTTTTAACCTCAGCAAATGAAAAAAAACAAAAAAACCAATCTCACCAGCATTATTTGATGAGCAGCTGTTCAGGTATAATTTTTGGCCCTTTTTTAATACCTTCAACTACAATTTAAATTAATCCTAGAAAACAACCTAATTTATTAATATATGTCAAAGTTTTTTGTAAAAAGCAATCTTCGAGAAAGAATTAGCACATAATCAATCATCAGAGCAAGAAACGATGTTTAGGCGAGGTCTACCGCTCGAATTATCATAAAGTCTATAAGAGTACCCAGAATAAAATGTACAAAAGAGAAGACTGAAACAGATATGACAACTGAGTCTAAAATGCATAATTGATTGATACCTTCGCAGAACTGCGATTTGTTTGAGAAGCTTTCTTCACATTTAGTCAAAGTGGTGGTGCAATTGAAATTAGTAGATGTCTCTGATACATTTCCACTTTTTTTATACCATCTACCATAATCATCGCTGTTAGAGTATCCCATTACCATGCACGTCAAATCTTCTTCAACTACATTCCAGGTACTAGTGCAAAGCTTTTTCCAGCTGCTGTCTGAGTAGATTTCCATTGTACCAACTGATGAGTTTCTCTCCGTTTTAAAGCGCAGTGGAAATACTAATGGAAAAAAATCATACAAAAGTATACGTTTACCTTGAGAGGCCTTCTTCAAGATTATACAAATTATAATTATTGTGCTGATGATTCCCCCAAACAGGTACTTAGTTTCATATGTATATCAATTCTAGGTGTGTTAGAAATGTAATCATCAGCCCAAAGTTAAATGGTTTCTTTCAGGAGCAGTCAATAAAAACATTATTAATACTGCTTGCATCAGACATCCCATACTATTTTATCAAGAACAAGAAATTTGGCACTAAAATGGAGAACGATACTAAAATAACATAAACATTTGCAATAATAATGAGTGGGATCGGATGATAATAATAATCACGATAACGATGATGATCCTGATGATAGTAATGAGTGTGAGAATTATAATGATCATAACTTTATTCAAGCTGCGATGCAATGTTAATGCTAATTTTGGACAAGGTCAAGGACTTAGCCTTTTTAATATGGGGTTCAACTATGATTAGACCTCAGACCACCCATGATGTCTTTATTTCAATAAATGTTATCCTATGAAATTAAAATTCACACATACTGATTTTACCATCTGTATGTTACCTTCATGGCAGCTGGACGTTTTGTTGCATTCCCTTACAAGTGCTCTGCTCCCATTACAGTGTTCCCCGCCATATGCTGGTTCTGGATTGGAACATTCTCTAAACCTTATCTGTATGCCACTGACTGTTTTAGTGCAGATACTCCAGGGACTCCACTCATTCCAACCACCATTGACTAAAAATGTTTCAAGAACAAGCAGTTGAGAAACAACTTAAAAACTTTGCCTTTGGGAGAAGCAATTGTGATCAGTTTATTTTCAGAAATTATTATTTTTTACTTCGCTTGAAACTTTCCAAAGGGTCTTGATATTAGCAGGCAAGTCTAGAATTTAAAGAAAGCAACAAAACTTTTGAGTCTGTAAAACATGTTTCGACAGAAACTTCTGTCATCTGTCATCAAGTTCACTATGTAAAAGCAGGTTAATCACAAATTACCCTTTTTAGATGTCATGATTGACAACCATTCAATTCATCTCTAACTAGGGTTTACCACAAGAAAACTTTCACTGGGTTACTAACTAATTATTTCAGCTTCACCTCTTACTCTTACAAAGTGGGTCTCATTAAGACACTCGTTGATAGGGCTTACAAGAATAATAACACCTGGTTAGGGTTTCATGAGGACATTAACAAACTTACTGATATTCTAAAAAAGAATCTTTTCCCTGCTCATTTAATCGAGAAGATTATAAACCGTTACATCACTGGGACCCAAAGCAATCATCATCCCCTGGGGTTCCCTTCCCACCACTTCACCTACATTTTACTTTAAGCTACCCTACATGGGCCACTTTTCTGCTATCACTCAAAAAAAGGTCCGCCATTTTATTAAGCGCTATTGCAATGACTTGGATATTAAACTGGTTTTCTCTTCCTTCAAAATTGGTAACTTGTTTGGTGTGAAAGACCCTGTCCCTGACGGGCTCCGTTCACATGTGGTTTATAAGTTTGTATGTGCTGGCTGTAATGCCTGTTACATCGGTGAAACCTGCCGGCATTTTTCCACACATGTTAGAGAGCACTTAGTCAGTGACAGGGCCTCTCACATTTTCAAGCATCTGAAAGATTCTCCACATTGTCGCGCTTTGTGTTTAGCAGATAACTTCCATGTTTTAGATCACGCCGCTACCAGCTTTCAACTTAAGATAAAAGAGGCTATTCATAGTCAAAGAGCACAACCATCCTTGAATCAACAATTACACCATCTAAATCTAAAACTATCCTTTTAATTCTTACACTTTCATGCTTTACCCCTTTTCTTGTTGTCACTATTCATCATAATTAGCATTGTTCTACTTACTGTATGACTCAACTTCCAATGCTTTGTACAGTAATTAACTGAAGATGACAGAAGTTTCTGTTGAAACATGTTTTACAGACTCAAAAGTTTTGTTGCTTTCTTTAAATGCTTGAAACTTTCATTCAAATTCAAGGAGAAAAAAATATAAAAAAAACTTTAAACCCTTTTTTAATTGTAATAAAAGTTTTGGTAATTTTTAGTGTCTCTTTTCCTTTTTGTAAAACTCAAAACTTTCCACTGTATGGTAGCACCAATTACAGACTGTTATCTGGACAAAAATAAGTGTTGCAAGATTGGATTGCAACATAAGAGAACGTTCTTGGCACTGCCTTCCACCCTATACTGCAAGCTTTTATATTGCTAATTCATTCAACATTTTGACTGATTCAAATAAGAAGGAGGCATGAAAGAAACTTTACAGAAGCTAAATACCAGCATATGGTAGAAACCTTACAGCTACTAAACATCGATTTTGCAAACTGCATGCGTATATAATGCTGATTCATTCATTACAACCTTTTGAACAAAGCAAATAAGGATAAAGCATGAACGGAACTTTACCAAATCTAAATATCAGCCTATGGTAAAAACCTCACAACTACTAAACATTGATATTTGTAAAACCACATAAATTAACTTAAAGGTGCGTGGAGCACCTTGAACCAGCAAAATTAATAATCAAAATAATAAAAGATTGTTGGTTTAACACTAATTACACACTCTCACCTGGACAATGATTAGCATTGCAAGATTGGCTCATATGCCTTTGTCCATAGCAACTCCTTCCGTCCCAGCTTGGGGAAGGATTTGTACAACTGCGCATTCGGTACTGCGATCCACCACCACAAGTTAGGCTGCACCTCCCCCATGACCCCCAGGATGACCAGCCACCATCAACTATATTTATATCAGAAATTTAATTGATTGATGAGTTAAAGTGACTCTAAATAGAAGAACTGCCTACCAATATTGAAAATTGCATGCATATATATTGCTAATTCATTCAACATTTTGACCATTTCAAATAAGAATAGGGCATGAAAGAAACTTTACAGAATCTTAATACCAGCATATGTTAGAAACCTTGCAACTACTAAACATTGATATCTCTACACTGATATTGCAAATTGCATGCGTATATCATGCTGATTCATTCCACCTTTTGAACAAAGCATATGAAGATAAGGCATGAACCGAACTTTACCAAATCTAAATAGCAGCATATGGTAAAAACCTTGCAACTACTAAACATTGATATCTATAGAAATATGTAAATTGACATTTGTACAACTGCGCTCTCGGCATTGCGATCCACCACCGCAAAATTAGGCTGCACCTCTCCCATGACTCCCAGGATGACCAGCCACCATTAACTATATGTACATCAGAACTTCAATTGATTATTAAGTTAAAGTGACTCTAATTAGAAGAAATCACTGGTGATCCATGCCATCTGATTGACTCTCATGGGCATGACAAACATCATAACATGGATTAATTATGAGGATGTGATTAGAACTTAATCATTACTGCATATTACGGTAGTTACTGCACCATATCCTCATGAAAAGGAACAAGTCACATTCTCATCAACCATTATGTAAAGTGTGAAGACACTTACCAGCTGATTTGTTCCACAAAATACACATGAAAAGTAAAAGGATAGTATTAATTTTGAAAAGAAATTATTCTAGGGATTAATTTTATTCATTCTCATACTGAAGAGTTACCAAAATCCTTGATAGAATTCTCAATTAAAGTAAGGAGATTCAATTAAAAAAACAACAACAACAACAACAATCTATGAAAGTAAAATGAATTCACCATTCTCCGGGGTGCTCATTAAATATCATGTCAACAATCAATGTAAATCATCAGAATAGCCAGGCCGATTTTTTTTTAACCAATTGCATTCTAGCACTAATATGAAAAGAAATCAGGTTATTTTTGTGTTGTCTAAGTAGTTATTTTCATGCACTAAAGAATATATAGATGACTTAAATGATAATAATAAATACAACGTGAAGAAAAGTCATTTTTCTTATATCAATAATGATAGTATTTTTAAATCACTAATGATCCGTCCCTTTTGATCGGCTTTCATGGGCGTGATGAACTTTATAGGACTGATTAACTATGAGGATGTTATTAGAACTTTATCAATACTGCAAATAACGGTTCTTATTGCACCATATCCTCATGAAAAGCAAAGAGCCAAGCTCTTGTTAACCATTATGTAAAATATGAAGACACTTACAATCTGTTTCGTTCCACAAAATCCACATGAAAAGTAAAAGGATAGTATTCATTGTGAAAAGAAAGAAATCATCTGAGGGATTAAGAGAGTGTCTAAGAGCGGTCCGGTCGATTTTGCTTGAGACACGGATTTCGCTCATTTCTTGGGTGTTGTAAGACATTCATGTACCTATACTAAAACCACAATCCGTTTGATCGGATCTCTTTATTTTTCAGAGTTTTACGGAAATTAAATTTCGCTCGAGCGAAGGCTTGTCGTGACACTTTTCAAGACTTTAATTTAAGACAACTTTGGAGGACAATTTACAAAAAAACTACGGAACTCAGCAAAAAATAAATACCCCAGCCATGTATTTTAACTCTATCTTATCTATCGAGGCGACTTTCGTGAACACCACGTTTCAATCAAGCAAAGAGGAAGACTTGAATGACACCTTATCGGTTCGCCTAAGTCACACACGCCAAAACCGATCAAATTCAAGGTAAATTTTTGAAAAAGTGAGGCGTTCTTAACTGATCCAACTAACATAGCTAGGAATTAGGTGCCATAGAAAAGGTAACTACAGAAAAACACTTTGCGGCCCGACCTCTACGAAAACTTGATAACTCCGTGAACTAACATAATTTTCGGCAATCTCCGAGTTTGGCCGCCATTTTGAGGGATTTGTCAACATGAAACGTAACTGATATAAATCAAGCAGGTACATCTAAAACCGTCAGAAATACATACGAAAGCAATTCAAATGAACTTTACTTTCAATTCAAGCGGAAAAATTTGAAATCGTTCGTTAAACTTACTATTCCTACATCCTCATGCGACCATTTCTTCCAAAAATTCAAACACTACAACTAGTGTTCGAATTCCCCTCGTCGATTCCACCGTAAGAAATAACCTGTGCCACCCAAGCTTCGACTCGAATGTGAAGTACGAATCAAATAACATAACTGCTTCATCTTCGAGGCAATATCACGCTGGTATTTTGATTTTCTGATCGACAAGAACGGTGATCAGAAAGCGATCGCCATGTTTACTTTATAAACGTAACCGCTGACCAGTCGGCTGAGTGAAAACAGTATAGCGCGGGGTGGGGTGGGTGGCGGGCTTATCGTCATAAAATATTCGAATACATGCTTAAAAAGCTTTAGGACTCCCAGTCTAAACAGTGAAGGCATGCTTCGTGGTACAGACAACTTTTATTTTATTCTCATAACTTTCTCCTTTAAATTAGAGCTGGTATCAATGAATAGAGTCATCAATATATTTTTAACCGGGTTACCCATATGACCTTTTTGCTTGTCCTCAGTGGTATAAAATCAGGTGCTTTTCCACCAGAACCTTTTATTTATACCCCATTGCACGGAATGAACACCATACTTAGAATGTTTGTTCTAAGTCATTTTTGCTGTTCCCAAGAATGTATGCAAAATGATAGAGATTTGTCTCATTTAGCCGACACGTTCTTTTAAGTTATGGCGCGTGCAGGTTTTTCCTATCAAAAGTCGCGCGCGCAACACACCGGAATTGAAAATTCGTCGTAAAATCGCACGAACGTTAGAATGAGCGTAGGCAACTTTTCACTTCTGACGAGATGAAGTGGATAGTTCAAAGGACCCC